TACATCTATGAAGAGGTGTGAAACGTGTCAGCCAGGAATCAGGCAATATTTTCTTGTCTTCCTTTGGTCTCATGATTTTCTCTACATATTCTTTGACGTCCTACATTTTATGTTACACTTGTGTCTCTCTCTGCATAAGTCAAATTACTTTATTGTAATGTTTTGCACTGTGCTATTTAAGTATGAGCCATTTTCTGAGACGCTGAGATTTTATTTACACCTGTAGATTAATATATGATGTTCTTATTTCTATTTGCAGACTGAAATAAATTCTAAATTTGTTATTCTTGGTCATTTTTCATTTGTATTTACGTAGCAGGCTACAGGTTGTATTTATTTTGATCACGTCTGGCTTTTTTTTAAATGTTTTTTTTGTACATAGGTCGAGTATGTTTGTTAGTGTGTTTGTATATCTAATTTTTTTGTAGATATTAAATTAAAAAAATGAAATGTAGTGGGACAAAAAATAAATAATACAGCTTATTTTATTTGATATATTTTATATTATTGATCTGAATCTGCAAAGTAACTGAAGTTATCAGATAACTGAGGCAAGTAAAAACTATCTGGATTGTGGAGGAAAAGAAAGTGTAAAGTCACAGAAAATGTAAGTACTTAGTATGTACAAGCACCTCAAAATTTTACTTACTTACATTATTTGCGTAAATATACATGGCTCAGTAAAGTAATGAAAGTCACTGTGCTATAGGCAACACATATCTGTCTAAAGATGTGCACAAGCAGGTCAGTTTTATTGAAAACTGTCACAAATGAAATACTGTCATCAGGATTTTGTTTATTTGTGTAAACGTGACAAAAAGGAAGCAAAGAGCAGGAGGATCTGCTCTGCAAATCTTCTCTAGATGGATAAAACAGGCCAATAAATAGGCTAAATAAATTTAAAAAAAATACCTAATCAATAAATTGACCTTGGCTTTTCAGCGTTTAAGGAAATGAGGATTAAAACCTGAGTTTTTAAAGTGCATTCCCAGTTTTAAGAGAAAAAAAAAAGACCACTTGTTGTGGACCCAGCAGAGAAAACATCTCCACAAATGATCCACACACAGCTGATCTGTGAAGCAGGGGCTTGTGGGTACTTGTGATAGTGTGTCTACTCTGTTATGATTCCCAGCCAGAATGCGCTGTGGGCCTAATTTTAGGATGTTACGAGCAGCACTTGAAGGCAGCACGCTCTCCTCTCCTGTCACCACTGTCCTCCTCCTCGGGTCCAGCTCCGTCTCCTGAGTGTCTGACTGCCGGTGGGGTGTGTCTGCTGGAGATAGTGGTGGAGGGAGGCAGCTGCGTCAAGGCAACCACAGACAGGCAGAATGGAACCGGAAGTTGCTCGATTTGGTCTTTAAAATAAAAGCATAGTAATGCCTGCTACTGTCTTTTTCACATAAAGAACTGTCTAGGTAAATTAAAAGGTCAAACATAATGAAAGCTTATAATTAAGAAAATGTAAGAAATTTTAAAACAAATCCCCTCAAAACTGTGAATTTTGAGACATTACCCTCAACAGATTTAAACCTCTCAGATTCTAGCCCTCATTTCTATATAGTATAAAGACTCTTGAACACCTATGTGATCATCTCAAAACTACAATTAATAATCTTATGCCATAACAGCCTCCACTCCTCTGGTTTCAGCCTTTTCACCAGATTTTAGAGCATGGCTGCAGGGGTTTACTCCCACTTAGCCACAAAATATTAGTGATGCTGGATGAAATCCTTTCAGCTAGTGTTCAAGTTCATCTCAAATGTACTGGACACAGTTGAGGTCAGTGCTCTGTGCAGGACAGTCAAAAGCTTTAATCTGTTCTCGTCCTCTGCAACCATCAACGGTGGAGTACCACAAGGTTCCATATTAGGCCCCTAATATATCCTTTGGGTGCTTTTTTTTTTAGAAAATTAAATATCTTCTACCTTTGTTATGAACCCAATAAACTACTGTCGGTCTGTGTACCTCCTACTAAAACTTGGTGATACATGCTGCTTTTTTTCCTGCTGAGCTGCCAGGATTTTACATCCAGGATGTAAAATCATATAGCTTTTAATAGGAATCATATAGCCTATATTAAATTACTGGATTATAATTAGTGGTGCATTCATGTGTACATCACTTGAACTTTGCTGCTGGTAAGGTGGTGCAAATTTTATTTACTTTATATACTGCTGGGTAGCTTTATCCATAAATAATGCATGATCATTTACACGGTTATTTATATTTTGTATTAATAACTTGAATAGGCTGTGTAAAGTATCTAATCATTAAAGCTGTCAAATAAATGTTCCATAGTAAAAAGTGGTAGCAATATCATAATGAAGTGCAGCAGAGGTATAAAGCAGAATAAAATGGAAATACTCAAATGAAGTACCTTAAAATTCTAGCCTACCTTAGAACAGTAGGCTACTTGAGTAAATGTAGGCTACTTACATTTTATCTTTGATATTTATTTCAAACATGTAAAAACAGACATGAACATACAAACAAGCAGGCAGACAGACAGACAGAAGGAAAGTAATATATACAAATAACGTAAAAGCAATTGTCAGTGTATAGTAACTTTGATTTACACAGCCAAATAGGAGTGGGAGCTAGTATGAACTGATTAAATCCCACCTTTTCTCCATAAGTCATTGAGTAAAATGAAACAGACAGCTTCCTTATACGGATAAACCTATACCTCAAACTTTTCTAAATATACCATTGTTACAACCTTTTAACTTTTTCACACAGAGATAACCCATGTATATGAATATAATATTAATTACCAAATATCTATCTTACAGAACCTGTCTTAATATATAATATAAATTAACAAGTACTTGTGACTTTCAAGTATAAACCAGTCTAAATGTGTGATATATTACCACTTATCTTTGCCTTACAAAAAACATTAATATCAAGTATTACATATGTGTCTTAATCAACCTGTCCTGCTATCTTTTAGGTAAACATATGAATTATACAGTGTGAATATATATAATAATTCCAGTATATACAGTACAGGCCAAAAGTTTGGACACACCTTCTCATTCAATGCGTTTTCTTTATTTTCATGACTATTTACATTGTAGATTCTCACTGAAGGCATCAAAACTATGAATGAACACATGTGGAGTTATGTACTTAACAAAAAAGGTGAAATAACTGAAAACATGTTTTATATTCTAGTTTCTTCAAAATAGCCACCCTTTGCTCTGATTACTGCTTTGCACACTCTTGGCATTCTCTCCATGAGCTTCAAGAGGTAGTCACCTGAAATGGTTTTCCAACAGTCTTGAAGGAGTTCCCAGAGGTGTTTAGCACTTGTTGGCCCCTTTGCCTTCACTCTGCGGTCCAGCTCACCCCAAACCATCTCGACTGGGTTCAGGTCCGGTGACTGTGGAGGCCAGGTCATCTGCCGCAGCACTCTATCACTCTCCTTCTTGGTCAAATAGCCCTTACACAGCCTGGAGGTGTGTTTGGGGTCATTGTCCTGTTGAAAAATAAATGTCCAACTAAACGCAAACCAGATGGGATGGCATGTCGCTGCAGGATGCTGTGGTAGCCATGCTGGTTCAGTGTGCCTTCAATTTTGAATAAATCCCCAACAGTGTCACCAGCAAAACACCCCCACACCATCACACCTCCTCCTCCATGCTTCACAGTGGGAACCAGGCATGTGGAATCCATCCGTTCACCTTTTCTGCGTCTCACAAAGACACGGCGGTTGGAACCAAAGATCTCAAATTTGGACTCATCAGACCAAAGCACAGATTTCCACTGGTCTAATGTCCATTCCTTGTGTTTCTTGGCCCAAACAAATCTCTTCTGCTTGTTGCCTCTCCTTAGCAGTGGTTTCCTAGCAGCTATTTGACCATGAAGGCCAGATTCGCGCAGTCTCCTCTTAACAGTTGTTCTAGAGATGGGTCTGCTGCTAGAACTCTGTGTGGCATTCATCTGGTCTCTGATCTGAGCTGCTGTTAACTTGCCATTTCTGAGGCTGGTGACTCGGATGAACTTATCCTCAGAAGCAGAGGTGACTCTTGGTCTTCCTTTCCTGGGTCGGTCCTCATGTGTGCCAGTTTCGTTGTAGCGCTTGATGGTTTTTGCCACTCCACTTGGGGACACATTTAAAGTTTTTGCAATTTTCCGGACTGACTGACCTTCATTTCTTAAAGTAATGATGGCCACTCGTTTTTCTTTAGTTAGCTGATTGGTTCTTGCCATAATATGAATTTTAACAGTTGTCCAATAGGGCTGTCGGCTGTGTATTAACCTGACTTCTGCACAACACAACTGATGGTCCCAACCCCACTGATAAAGCAAGAAATTCCACTAATTAACCCTGATAAGGCACACCTGTGAAGTGGAAACCATTTCAGGTGACTACCTCTTGAAGCTCATGGAGAGAATGCCAAGAGTGTGCAAAGCAGTAATCAGAGCAAAGGGTGGCTATTTTGAAGAAACTAGAATATAAAACATGTTTTCAGTTATTTCACCTTTTTTTGTTAAGTACATAACTCCACATGTGTTCATTCATAGTTTTGATGCCTTCAGTGAGAATCTACAATGTAAATAGTCATGAAAATAAAGAAAACGCATTGAATGAGAAGGTGTGTCCAAACTTTTGGCCTGTACTGTATGTACACCCACATAATATAATATAAATTACCAATTATCTTTGCCTTACAAAAAATACTAATATTAATATTACACATGTCTTAATCATCTTGTCCTGTTAATTTTTAAGTGAACATATGAATTAGGCCATACAAAGTGTGAAATGTAATTCTTCCAGTATACATGTACGTATACCCACATAATTTAATATATATTAACAATGATCTTTGCCTTACAAAAAAATAAAAATAAAATACCATTGATTGGGCCTGTTACTTTACTGACATATGAATTCTCTCGTCTTTGATTTTGACTTGATCGCTTTGTTGTTATTTTACTTTGAAAGCTGTGGCCGGAACTACGTGCTTACACTTCCTCCCGCTTGACGTCGACGGGAGACGCTGTAAAAACGCTCGCGCCTCATCCTCAGACGCCTTGTAGACGAGAAGACAACCGCGCGCACGACTCACGTGCGGAGGTAAAATGCAGCTGAATAACCGGACGATGCTCACGAGTCTGGAGCTGGCTGTTATCTAACATTAGTTTACACAGAAGAAGAAGAGGGAGAAGAAGAAAAAGAAGGAGAAGAAGAAGAAGAGGAGCCATGAAGAAACACCTGAGTCCAACCAAACAGCAGCAGCAGCAGCAGCAGCAACCACCGGCGGATGTCCCGGTGGCTCCCGGCGGCGAGGTGACCGTCCAACAACTCAACGAGCTGCTGTCTAACGGCAGCGGCTTCTACAGCTTACCGACACAGCACTTCAACGAGGTCTTCCCCCGGATATACATCGGTAACGCGTGAGTTATTCATCATGTCTCTATCATGCTCTGACACTGACAAGTAAGACAGGTTGTTGTCTTTTGTCAACACGCTCGCGCCCCATCCACCGAGCAGACGCGACAATGACAACAGTGTCGCATGTCCGGGGAGCACGCGCGCAGGGCGGGCTTGTTATTTTGGTGTCTCCACTCTCATCATGGAGGAAGCGACAGCCTGTTGTTGTCAACACATTGTGCTGTTGTCCTCGAAATGCCGGCGGCGGCAGAGTGTCAGACAGGTGGACATTACCTCACTGTGTCACACACCAGTAATGATAATTATAGTAATTATACTATATATTTCCCATTTTAATTCACCCTATACCGGCCCGGTGAACACATGAAGGACGGACACAGAGCCCTTGTTTCTACTCAGTGAACCCCTCCATCATTAATATCACCGCCGTGTAATCACGTCTCCATCGAGCCGCTCCCCATCCTGCTCTCAGCTGCAACATCAGCCATCTCACACATGCATGCGATTTATTTTCATTCATAAACTGATAAAACAAAAAAAAAAACAACAGGCGGTCTCGTGGGTTCCAGCAGAACAAAGAGGGAGGAGAAGGAGCACGTGAATTTGGAGTCGTGAGTGGGAACATGCACGTATCAGTGAGGTGAGCCTGGTCACGCAGCGTCATACACCTAAAGTCACAGGAACAAACCCAGTCATGATAGAGATGCACGATGTAGGATTTGATATGCTGATATGTAACAACTCATTTAATGGATAACTCATACCGATATTGATACATCCACTTTTTTCCCCACCTTATTTTAGTGATCATCAAGTCTCTTCTGTAGTGGATTTATCATCATATTATGAATCCATACTGTTATCGTGATGGTCCACCAGCAGATGGAGACATGAAATATCAACACATTCTCACTCTGACCTCGTCACATATCGACATTTGGTCATGAACTTTCCACGTTTATATACACTTACAAGGTACCCTGAGTGTGTTGATTGTTGACGTTCTGGGATGCCGTGTCAAGTTGTGCTTGTTACATGCTTCTCTGTTTTCAAAATAAATGCACTACGTTGGTACAACACCGCAAACACAGCAACAAAAACATGGTTCGATTTAGGCAGCAAAAACACGTGGTTAGGTTTAGGCAAGAAAAATATGGTTTGATTTAGGCAACAAAAACACGTGTTTGGGTATAGGCAACAAAAACATGCTTAAGTTTAGGCAACAAAAACATGCTTAAGTTTAAGCAACAAAAACATGTGGTTGGGTATAGGCAACAAGAACACATGGTTAAGTTTAGGCAAGAAAAACACGTGGTTGGGTTTAAGCAACAAAACCACGTGGTTAAGCTTAGGCAACAAAAACACGTGGTTAGGTTAGGCAACAAAAACACTCTTAGGTTTAGGCAACAAAACGTGGTTAAGTTTAGGCAACAAAAACACATGGTTAGGTTTAGGCAACAACACGTGCTTCGGTTTAGGCAACAAAAACAAATGCTTAGGTTTAGGCAACAAAAACATGTGGTTAAGTTTAGGCAACAAAAACATGTGTTCATTCATAGCAACAAAATCAAATGCTCAGGTTTAGGCAACAAAAATAAATGCTTAGGTTTAGGCAACAAAAACACGTGGTTATGTTTAGGCAACAAAAACATGTGGTTAGGCCTAGGCAACAAAAACACTCTTAGGTTTAGGCAACAAAACGTGGTTAAGTTTAGGCAACAAAAACACATGGTTAGGTTTAGGCAACAAAATCAAATGCTCAGGTTTAGGCAACAAAACATGTGGTTAAGTTTAGGCAACAAAAACACGGTTAGGTTTAGGCAACAAAAACAAATGCTTAGGTTTAGGCAACAAAAACACGTGGTTAGGTTAAGGCAACAAAAACACTCTTAGGTTTAGGGAACAAAACATGTGGTTAAGTTTAGGCAACAAAAACACATGGTTAGGTTAGGCAACAAAAACACTCTTAGGTTTAGGCAACAAAACATGTGGTTAAGTTTAGGCAACAAAAACATATGGTTAGGTTTAGGCAACAACACGTGCTTCAGTTTAGGCAACAAAAACATGGTTCGATTTAGGCAACAAAAACACGTGTTTGGGTATAGGCAACAAAAACAAATGCTCAGGTTTAGGCAACAAAAACAAATGCTTAGGTTTAGGCAACAAAAACATGTGGTTAAGTTTAGGCAACAAAAACATGTGGTTAGGTTTAGCCCTATTGGACAACTGTTAAAATTCATATTATGGCAAGAACCAATCAGCTAACTAAAGAAAAACGAGTGGCCATCATTACTTTAAGAAATGAAGGTCAGTCAGTCCGGAAAATTGCAAAAACTTTAAATGTGTCCCCAAGTGGAGTGGCAAAAACCATCAAGCGCTACAACGAAACTGGCACACATGAGGACCGACCCAGGAAAGGAAGACCAAGAGTCACCTCTGCTTCTGAGGATAAGTTCATCCGAGTCACCAGCCTCAGAAATGGCAAGTTAACAGCAGCTCAGATCAGAGACCAGATGAATGCCACACAGAGTTCTAGCAGCAGACCCATCTCTAGAACAACTGTTAAGAGGAGACTGCGCCAATCAGGCCTTCATGGTCAAATAGCTGCTAGGAAACCACTGCT